ACACTTACAACTTATGTTTCATGTATTTTTTTGAAGTGCATATTTGATAAGTAGTCTAGGTTTGCTTAGTAGTGACAAGGAGGTTTCTCTTTTTAAACCTCCTTGGTAGTGATTAGAGACATGTCATTATGTAGCAAGTGGCAAGACCTACTAGTAGTGGGGGGGGGGGGCTGAGCAGCATATTTGTGTTTGAATAAAAAAAAACAGAGCAGTAGTTTGTTGGGCTAGACCATGGGAAGGTGAACATTGTTTTGATTTTAATATGCATTTGCCTTGCAAATATTACTTCTTCCCACAGAAATGTAACTCCCTGCCGATCAAACCTGGTATGATAAATGTGCACCTGGTGCCACACACACATGACGACGTCGGCTGGCTCAAGACAGTGGACCAATATTACTATGGAGGTACATGTTATTCTGTATCTAATTTCAACAAACTAGTTTTACAGTCTGATAGTTTAAAGTTCTTTTGATAGGGTTTAACAGATTGCAACATTAATATTGAAAATTACATGTACCTGCACCAGACAAATTTTACCTGCACCACTTTAAGACGTATGTATCATAATAAATTTGTTCTAAAACTATTACCAACTTTCTTTTGTACTTCATACAGGTGGTAACATTCAATGCAGCAAATAAAGTTAAACACACACGGTATACAACTATGTTTATATAAATCCAGTACATATGGACCTGGACCAGTGAAGGTTAGGTGCCGGTAAGATACTTGATACTTGACATCAGAAATAAACACAGCCCCAATTGCACAGCCCCAATTTTACCTGAGCTAAGGTGCAAATGTACCCAGTATGTCAAGCCCTGAAGATAGATAAAGGATCAAGTTATGAAATTAGAAATAATAATAATTGACAATGTCACATATTTTTCAGCAAACACCACTATCCAGAGGGCAGGTGTTCAGTACATCCTGGATGGAGTCATCCCACAGCTGGAGGCTAACCCCAGGAGGAGGTTCATCTACGTGGAGATGGCCTTCTTTAAGCGCTGGTGGGATGAACAGGATGAAGACATGCACGGGAGGGTCAAGAAGCTTGTGGACGAAGGTATGTCTTAAGATGTACCCTATTTCTGTTAACCTTCGTAAAATTTGTTTGTTTGTTTATTGTTTATTTTACCAGAGAACATATTGCCCTGGAGGGCGGTTTTCAATGCACCTTGGGGGGCAATCCCCAAACACAATAAAATAATAACAATATAATACAACAAAAAGTAATCACTGAAGAAAACTTATGTACAATCAAGGGGCAAATTAAAATAAGGTAACTTAAGCACAGAAGAATAAGCGGTCCAAAATAGGCATACATCAAATAATATCAAATCGATCATACAGAAATGAAAATAAATGATAAGTGCATAATATTAATATTTGCATATCAATGTACAATTGGCAGCATGTTTTCCAAAACAACATGTTTTCCATTAAAAGGAAAACATGTTGTTTTTTCTCCGTTTCTCCTTTGTCTCCAAACAAATAATGTCAATGGCCTGGACCAAACAGCTTACACCATGGTAACTGGTGCTGTAGCAGACACCCTGTGGTGTTGGAATACATTATGTAGCAAGTGGCAGGACAGAGTTGGGGGATGGTCATTGCTCATGCTGTTGTTAATGTAAGCTGAGTTTCCAATTGAAAAGTTTTCTCACAACCTTCCAAAGAAAGTGATTCTTATCTTGGCCTCTCATTGGTATTTCTTTTTTTTTTTCAACTAGTTCCTGAGTTAGAGGTAAGATATCTTAAAAGTTCCTTTCTTTCCACAGGCCGATTAGAATTCATCAATGGAGGCTGGTGCATGAATGACGAGGCAAGCACACATTACAACGCAATCATCGACCAGATGACACTCGGGCTGCAGTTCTTAAACACGACGTTTGGCGAGTGCGGGCGACCTCTCGTGGCATGGCACATTGATCCATTTGGACACTCCAGGGAACAGGCTTCAATTTTTGCCCAGGTATAGGAATTTTAGTCTCTTGCAAAATATAATGTGATAAAATAGGTACTGTGCCAATGTACTAGTATTTATTATGTTTGCCTTCACAAAAACATAACAATATTGTTTTTCTCCATTGCTTCGGATTCTTCCTAATCTTTCCATTTTAAACTAATAAGTTCAATGACCTGGACCAGACAGCTGTCACCATGGTAACTGGTCCTGTAGCAGACACCCTGTTGGATTACATTATGTAACAAGTGGCAGGACAGAATTTGAGGGGCTGGTCAACATACTAGTATGTATGAAGATGTTTAAGTAATTAAGAATGCAGCAGTAGTTTGTTAGCCTAGACCATGTGAAGGTAAACGTTATGCATTTGTTTCGCAAATGTGCAAATGTTACCTTTCCAGTCAAAGTTTAAACCACATGCACATATGTGACAGTATTGTTTCTATCTCTCCCAGATGGGATATGATGGGTTCTTCTTCGCGAGGCTGGACTATCAGGACAAGATGAACAGACTGAATCTGAAGAACATGGAGGAGATCTGGCGGGGCAGCCCCAACGACCTTGGCAAGGTCGCTGACCTCTTCACAGGTACGACAAGGTCATATCATAGCTATACAATATTGTCAGATCACTGCAATGTATTTTTTCTCAGACATTTTTACATAAAATTCAGCAAGAGGTGAAAATGTAAATACATGTATATGGTACTACTAGTACAGTAGTTAGATGCAAACTACAAGTTATGTTGAAACTTAATTCAGTTACATGATTATGATGATAGGCTAGATGAAGCCATATACAAATATTCAACTTATCTCTGCACAATTTATGTCGTATCTAATTTATAAAGATCTGAATCAAAAAAGATCACAAATCAAGAACATTGGATATGTACAGTAGAACTCTCAAACTAATATTCACATAAATTATGATTTCACAGTAATAGGTCACACTAAACACCAAGAAAATAAATCTTCTGAAAAAGTTTCTGTATTTTCTGTAAGTGTGTCGTACACAAAAGTGCATTGTTGACAAACAAATGTACGTCTCCTAGGGGCTCTGTTCGGACCGCTCTATACTCCACCACCTGGTCTATGCTTTGAGCTCTTATGCCAAGACCCTCCCGTGCAGGTAAGATACACACCTGTCTCTTTACCATTTCTTGTCACACAGGTGACCTGTTTGCCCACTATGGACCCCCAGAAGGACTGTGCTTTGGGATACTGTGTAATGGTCAACCTGTACAGGTGAGCTTAGAAGGAGGGAGGACATGTGGCTACTATGACTCAACAATCTACAACACCTGTGCAGGGCTCAAATCATCCCTTGAATGCACCTGCACCTGCAAATTGGAAGAGTGCATCTAACAAGCCTATAACAGCCATGTTATTATGCAGGAAGTAGCCGTATAGATTTTTGAGGCTAAGTATTAATATATGGTAAAAGGAGCTAGTTTGATTCGCATTTCCAAGTGTTGACAATTTGGCACTTAAAACTCAAGAAAACTTGTAATTAGTCCCTTTTTTCTTTTAAATCAAAATATGGAAATCCTCATATAACAACAATAATATACATGTACTACATGTGCTTAAAAAGATGGTTGGCTAGGCATATAACTTATTTGTTTGTGTAAAGGTACAGGTCCTAATACCCATGTAACTGCACCTGCATCTAAATTTTTTTAGGTATTTAGATCTACTTATAAAAGAGTTGAACATGTTGGTAACTGTGTACTGTATATCACATGTCTCCAGGATGATCCCAGGCTACATGATTACAATGTGGAAGAGCGGGTGAAAACTGCTGAGAACAGGTCCATGGAACAGGTCAGTGGGAACACATGTATGATTGTGAACACATGTATGTTTGTGAACACATGTATGTTTGTGAACACATGTATGTTTGTGAACACATGTATGTTTGTGAACACATGTATGTTTGTGAACACACGTATGTTTGTGAACACATGTATGTTTGTGAACACATGTATGTATATTGTTTGTGAACACATTGTATGTTTGTGAACACATGTATGTTTGTGAACACATGTATGTTTGTGAACACATGTATGTATATTGTTTGTGAACACATGTATGTATATTGTTTGTGAACACATGTATGTTTGTGAACACATGTATGTTTGTGAACACATGTATGTTTGTGAACACATGTATGTTTGTGAACACATGTATGTTTGTGAACACATGTATGTTTGTGAACACATGTATGTTTGTGAACACATGTATGTTTGTGAACACATGTATGTTTACGAAGAATTGAGAGACTTTGCAGCCAGGTCACAACAATTTAATTTGTCAGTTCTCAGATATTAGAAAACAACACTTTTAATTTTTTTCAGTCTATTCATTTATTTAAAATTTAACATCCAGGCATCCAGACTGATTACAAAGGTCAAAAATTACAAAGACAAGTACAATACATAGTTACCAAATATACATCATACATAAAACAGTTTCCAAAAGATTATATCTAAGAAATGACACAATTGCTTAATGACAACACATTCTACTTGATATAATAGTAAATGTAACGAAAATCCCAGAATCACAAAAATGCAACTTTTGTTCCAAGTTTTCTTCAGATTGGAATAAAAACATGAGAATGTAGTAAAATGCAGGGATTCATAAAACTACTTGTGGCCCTATGATGTCTTGATAATGATAATTTTGATGACTGTCTTCGTAATGATACCAAAGTAACCTATCCTGTACTGTTTGTATTTATCTTAACTCCAGGCAAAGCACTTCCGTACAGAACACATCATGTGGACCATGGGGTCTGACTTCCACTACCAGGCAGCCAACATATGGTTCAAAAACATGGACAAACTCATCAAGTACACCAATGCTGGGGTAAGATATTGTCTGTAATGGTAAATGTAATGTCGATTGCACCTGCATCTGCATACTAGACCTGAACAAAACCATGGTTTCTGTTGAATCTTTGGTCAATGTTGCAGCAGAATTATGTTCTAAATTCTTCTGTATCTGTATCTGTATAGCCGGTATAACCGCCTTTCGGCGTAACACACCAGCTGTGTGATATGTATGATATCTTTTCAAACACAACACTGAAAACTACAGACAGGCTGTCATCCTTAAATATGCAAACCTTAAAAACTGTCTTGCATTTTTCAAAGTGGCATCATTGAAGGCAGCTGAGAACTTAGTAAAAATGGTGGTACATGCATCATTTTTTTAAACATGTAAGAAACAAGGAGGAGCCAGTAAAAACCCTTCTGGTCCCGGGCCGGGGTTCGAACCCACGACCTCCCGGGCCCCAGTCAGACACTCTAACCGCTCGGCTGAAAAGGCCTAGACCCGTTTGCCGGATCAGTTGGTAGCGCCTATGAACCCCCCACTGTTACACTACTCCCCCTTTTCTTTTCACTGTCTCCTGTTTCTTACAAACATATCAACTGAAAGACAAAGAACATGAAGTAGCCTTGTTTGTTACAGGATTAGGCAGCAAAAATATTTTTTGTAGCAGAATCTTGGTAAAATTCTTGTTGTTTGTTTCAGAACAAGGTAAACCTGCTGTACTCCACCCCATCCTGCTACGTGTACCACAAGAACCAGGCTGCTGATGTTAAATGGAGCTACAACAACACGGACGACTTTTTCCCGTACGCCGACAAGCCCCACAGTTTCTGGTCGGGATACTTCACCTCAAGACCCACCATCAAGGGTTACGTCAGGGAATGTAACAATTTCCTTCAGGTGAGACACATACGGAGATATGGCATAATGTTTAGGGTGTTTGGCCCTGAACCCAGAGGTACTGGGTTCGAATCCCCTGACATGCCCCAACATGGTGCCCTTGAAAAAGGCACTTGGCACTATACACGACTTTCCTCACTTCACTCACTGACAGGTTTAAATGAGCACCTAGCTTTGGTTAGGGATATAGCATCCTATATAGGACATTAAATGGAGGTCCCATGTTTGAGGAGAGCCACACCTTGAGCTGTTAAAGAACCCACCATACTTATTGAAAAGAGTAGGTATTCTTCCCGGTGTGAGTGGTTCAAACCTTACAATTCTACAAACTTCAGATGGGATATTATCCTTAAATGCACAAACAAGACCTTAAATGATAAGCTCTGTAGAAGTGCTAACCACATATTGAATTAAATGTGTTCCTGTGTTGAATGGATGTCATGCAGGTTTGCAAGCAGCTAGAAGTGATAGCTGGGCCACTGCCATTTAAAAATGGAGGACCATCATCACAAAGATTTCGTAAGATTATTTTTTGTTGTTATTGTTTTATTTGCCTTTGTCATTTGACCAAGTGTGTTTGCTGAATATAGCCCATCCATTCTACATTCAGAAAAATCAGAACTAGAAGATAAAAGATGAAAGAATCTATTATTATTTGAGGTAAACAGTCTGTACCTCAACTTGAAAATGTCCATATAGTAGTGTCATAGCAATGATGACTATATACATATGAATATTATGTGTTACACTCTACATTTGGGACCACATTTGTAATATTGCAGCCAGTTACCAAAATGTCAGAAAGAAAACCCACTGGTTGTTGAATAAACCTTGAATATTATCATGAAAGTAACTGTTCATCTGTGTTGGTAGTTACATGTTTAAAGTTAAAACTTTTGGTCCAACCCAAAAAAATTCTCTTACCTCAGAGCTTTCCATCAGTCTCTCTGGTCTTCCTCAGTAGACTGAACCAGTGAAGCTTGTCACGTGGCTTCTTTGAAGTGTGACGTCAACACTGGGTCAAAGGTATCTGGTAGACGATGAAGGTCCCCTTCGCGGTTCAATGTAGGCTTGAATATAATATAACCTTGAATATATCGTCTCTTGCCAACTTGATGAAATTACTCACATATTTACTCCCACTGTTTCAGGAGAGGCCATGGCAGTTGCCCAACACCACGATGCTGTCAGGTAAAAAGGGAAATACCATTTCTTTTGGATGAATAATTTTTTTTGCCATAGAAACAATATTATTAGGCACCAAATGCACTAGATGCCTTTAAATGCCTTTAAACACTGATCTTTTATTACTTTCTTCACTCTAAAATGGAGTGAAAAATTAAGCCAAGCACAGATCAAGATAAAATGACACCACGTAGCAATTCCAGTCATGCTTGGCATATAACTTTTTATTGTATTTCTTAGGATATTTTTATTGTGACAAAATATTACTGTTGCTTGTAGTGGAACTGAGAAGCAACACGTGGCCAACGACTATGCCATGCGGCTGCACGCAGGTGCTGTGGAATGTCAGGTGAGTACATGTATGAAGACACCTGCAGCTGTACATGTGTGAACACAAGCCTTGTATGGGCTACAAAAATTACTTCAAAGCCATTACTTTTGTTTCATTTATTCATTTAGCCAGGAGACCACATATTGCCATTGTTTTATAACAAGCAATTCAAATTAAAACTTAACAGGCTATTGGGCTACCTTAAGTTTAAACGTCATGTTAACTGTCCTGGGGTGATGTTGTTGTTGTTGTTGTTTACAGGCAGTTGTGGGCCGTGCTCTGACCAGTAAGATGAAGAAGGGAAGTGTGGACCCTCCGGCTGCCCAGTTCTGTACCTACCTCAACATCAGCATCTGTCCCACCACTGAGGACAACGACAATGTATGATTTCTCAATGTATACATTCAAAGCATCCTTGCAGTACATCCTATATGTTCCTATTTTTACCTCCGGGGGAGGAGACATCCTTCCGCGGAAGGGTTTTGTGAGAGATTTAGATTTTCATGTTCGCAGCTGTTTCTCGCGTTTGGCTGGATGGATTCTTTTGAGACTCGGTATATGTTTTGCTATTGGGCTGCAGATGATGCACGTTCTTTTGTTTTGTATATGTATTTTCAGGAATGAAAATGGTGCCTTTTGGTGGCCCCAAAACACCCCTTTGAGCGTGTAAATTGTCGCGTGTTTAAGTTATTCTCGGTCTGGTCCACGTATAAGACCCCTCGATAAATTCTTTGTTTAATACCCTAGTCCTGCGGCGCGCAACAGTTGTTGTTGTGCACAAAATTCAACACCATCAACTATACATAACAAACAACATATAAAAATATACAATAAAAAGCCCGGAGGTATAAAATCTCAGAGATTTTACTTGTTGTCTATGGGACCATTAATGTACAATCAGGACTTACTGTGTCTGTTGCTTAGCATTAACAAAGCATAGGTCCATATGAGGAAATAGAAATGGCAACGTGTACATGTCATGGTATTCGGAGAGGATGGAAGAGGGGTAGGGAATCGAAAGACGGGAGGATAACATCAGAGAATGGACTGGTATGACACGAAGTGAAACGTGAATCAAAAAACAAGAAGTATGAAGAAAAGGGTTCATTAGATCTTCTCTGGTGCCCCATTGGTTGAAATGATTAGACTAAGGGATAGATAAGATGAGATGTTCGAATATGTTGTAATATCTGGTATTTTGTGCCAGTATTATAGGCTGTTGTTTTCCTTTGTCCACAGTTTGCAGTGACCGTGTACAATCCCCTGGCCAGGCAGCTGACTGGACACTACCTCCGTCTGCCTGTCAACGGTCAAGCTTACACTGTCTCTTCACCTAAAGGCACATCAGTGGAAACACAGGTATCTGATACTAACAAACATGAAATATGTAGTGTAAGAATTCTCTTCCTATATGTAGTGTAAGAATTCTCCTCCTATATGTAGTGTAATAATTCTCCTCCTATATGTAGTGTAAGAATTCTCCTCCTATATGTAGTGTAAGAATTCTCCTCCTATATGTAGTGTAAGAATTCTCTTCCTATATGTAGTGTAAGAATTCTCCTACTACATGTAGTGTAAGAATTCTCCTCCTATATGTAGTGTAAGAATTCTCCTCCTATATGTAGTGTAAGAATTCTCCTCCTATATGTAGTGTAAGAATTCTCCTATATGTAGTGTAAGAATTCTCCTCCTATATGTAGTGTAAGAATTCTCCTCCTATATGTAGTGTAAGAATTCTCCTCCTATTACTCTAGCCGGACAGAGTTTTTTCTGTGAACTCAATTTATTTAACATAACATCACATCAAGTGCAACAGGCATGAAATCTTGACATGAAAAACTATTTTCTGCATTTTGCAGTGCAAATTCTGCTTGTAGACTAAGCTTGTTTGTTTATTTATTGTTTTGCCCTTACAAATAAAATAAAATGTCAAATGAAAGATAAATAGATGGAAGAGCTGGAAACCAGGTAGTTTATCTTTGGCCCTCCCCAATACTACAAGATTAAAAAATAAATTACCCTTAGGTACCACACCAATTTAATTTCTTGGTTAACGGATTTTTCTAGAAAAATAATGGAGCGGGCGGGCGAAAAAAAATAAAAATAAAAACAGGCCTAGGCATCCTATTATGGGCCAAAATGGTTATGATAGGAGACATGAAGTCAACATACCAGGCTGGTTCAAAATTTAAACAATGAATTTTGAACTGCAAATGATACCACTGCATTGAAATATGGGATGACTGTAACAAGTAGCAAGAAAAGGACTGTCTTCAACTGTTCAGGGCAAAATATGAGTATCTTGCAGTTGATTCTGAATTTTTACATGTATTTTTATTTGCAAATCAGAGAAAAATGAAGCGGCGAATCCGTTAACCAAGAAATTAAATTGGTGTGGCCTTATTACTCAATGAACCAAATTTTAAACAAAGAAGACAAAATAACAGGAACTAAGCAAAAACAATTCGATAAACTATTGAAATTGTCAAGAAGCTTAGTCAATGACATATTTATTTTAGGCATACTTAAGAAAATATAGAATCATAACTTCTTACCCCTGTCCAGATGCTGAAGGTATCTCCTCGTACTGTGAAAGTGAGGGGACCACGCGGTAATGCCACCAGTGAACTGGTCTTCCCTGTCACTGTGCCAGCTCTGGGCTTTAACACCTACCTGGTCAGTCAGGCCAGCAAAAGGAATACAAGTAAGGAACAACTGTCTTTGCAATTTAAAGGCATCCGAATGATACAATGTACTTTCAGGGCGGCAAAAAAAATTATAATCAAGAGGAGAAAATCTATCTTATATTGACATTTACTGACATTTCTTAGCACATATTCGTCATCATTTTATACTTGAAGCATTTGAAATAACCTCAAAACGAGCTACCTGGCAGTACTAGCTAGAATCAGACTACGATATGATACATGCAACCATTTTGTACAGTTGTCACTTGTACAGGTTTGACTGACAGGCTTAACTATAAACAAATTTGAATGGATATTGAGAGCTAAAGCACCCTGGCATGGAAAAAAAAAACAAAGAAAGAGGAATAGAGAATGCCACTACATTTTCATTGTTTTATGTATGAGATGTTCTCTTATTCTTATTCTCTTGTTTTTTTTAGGAATGGAAAGCCTGTTCATGCCACAGGCAGAAACTAAGTTAAACGTGGTTTCAATGATGATTCCCCAGTCACCTATGATGAGAGGGGACACTGAGATTCATAATGAGGTATGTATGCAACATTGACCAAACATCCAACAGAAATTGTTGTTTCATGCAGGCACATCATGTTCTGCCGACATCCTAGAATGTTGATGTTCAAAACAATGTCAGCTCACAAATGTTTCCTTTTTTTTCCTTCAGCATCTAAGCTTGGTGTTTGACAGCGCCACTGGTTATCTGAAGACTGTGACAAACCTGAAGAAAAAGTTGACACTAAACGTGAACCAGGCGTTCTACTGGTACAACTCCAGTACTGGTAACAACAAGGACAGCACCCAGAGGTCTGGAGCCTACATCTTCAGACCTAATGGCACAGAACCACTCACAATAAAAACCAAAGGATCGGTCATCACCAAAGTGGTTCGTCCCGTCTTTCTTAATGTCATGATTTGTTCATTACCAAGATTCTTGTGTTGTTCAGAAGAAAGAATACTAGTACATGCACAAAAACAGGAGTTTAACTGCAGCACCAAAGAAAGCCGCTAGGGGCCAAAAATTTTATGTGTGTATGCATGTGTGTATGAGAGAGAGAGAAAGAGGGAGAGAAAGAAACAGACTGTATGTTTCTAAATAGTAAATATGTTCTACCATCTTGAAAGTTCATCTGTGTTGGTAGAGGTCATTATGCAGCAAGTTTAAACTGTAATTTCCAACACATCTGAAAATTTGGGTGAGTCCAATTTCTTGTGTTGGAAATTACAGTTTAAACTTGCTGCATAATGTTCTACCATGTTATGACATGCAGTTTTCCTGTAATATGCTAGGAGGTGCTTATATAGCAAGGACTCTGAATGTACATGTATTGCATTGTGCTAGAAGCTACTTGTTTGTTTGTTTGTTTATTGGTTCGCATATATTTAAGAACAATAAAATGAACATATTACTGACAATAAAATAAAATGCTGGGGAAAGATATGAAGCCATAGTGGCTTGTCTGGGATCTTCCCCAACCAAATTAATTAACAACTGAAATAATGCTAACAAATCAAATGGTAATAATAAATAACAATACGTAATTGATAAATTTGATCAATATGATCAATATGATAATGGTAACAAAACAAATAGTAACAATGAATAACAAAAGTGATTGATAAATAACGCTAATTAGAAATGATATGTTAAAACATAGGTTAACAGAACTTTAACTTGAAGAATCATAATACATGTACTTCACCTCAGTTGAGGATGGCAAAAGAAGACAATGTGATGAATTAGTGTAAAAACTCTTTGCATCTGCTACAGGTGGCAGGAAAGTTGGTACAGGAGGTCCACCAGGTGTTTAATGACTGGGTCACGCAGGTGATACGTCTATATGCTGGACAGCGTCAAGCTGAACTGGAGTGGACTGTCGGACCAATCCCCTTCAAGGACGGTCTGGGGAAGGAAATCATCACTCGTTTTGACTCCGACTTAAAGACTGACAAGTTAGTGCACCTTCACTGTGTTAGATGACTTTTGTGACTTTTCCGTGTGTCTCACGCTAAAAAGCTATCTACGAAATTTTTGCAGAGCAAAGAACACACAGACAGAAACAGAATTTTTCTTGCAGTAAAGCTACTAGGGGAACCAAAATATTGTGTGTGTGTGTGCGCGCACATGTGTGCATACATGAGAAAGAGAGAATTGAGAGGGACACTTTGTTTCTCTGCACTGCAGTTCTTGTGTGTCCTGCCAGAGGGCACTTGCTATCAAGGGTAACTGTCTGATTGTCACCTTCACAATAAAATGCATGTTGCTCCTCCAGGAAGTTCTACACCGATGCCAACGGGCGGGAGATCTTGCAGCGTGAGCTGAACCACCGTCAGACATGGAAGCTGAACCAGACTGAGCCTGTGGCTGGCAACTATTACCCTGTCAACAGCAGAATCTTTATCAAGGTGAACTACCAACATATATGTCATACCTGGGCCCTGATAACGTTCGATATGGGTGTTCCAGCCTGTGTGTTACCACACGTCAGTTATCACACATCTTTGATGGCCCAGTCACCAGAAAACTCAACTCAAACTGATTTTACCATGATGATTTTTCACTTCTTTTCATCAAAAATCAATGTCAACACAGAGCAAGCATGAAAATTAATGAGATTGTCATGAGCAGGGATGGGGGTGTTTGGTTTGAAGTCCTAATTTGTTTCAGTCGCAGTCACATTAGACAAGTGTTTGGCTTGAGCAACTCACTTGATGCTTACAACTATGTCAAATAAAATTAAGATGCAGAAAAAGCAGTCATTATGGCCAGATGATCGGCTTATAGAGGTGGTTGCCTGGGTAAGTTAGACTGTAGTATATTTGTATAGCTGGTAAGTTATGTTGTTGTTTTTTCCTTCAGGATGCGAGCAAACAGCTGACTGTCCTGACAGACAGGTCTCAGGGTGGCTCCAGTCTGAAGGACGGCTCTCTGGAACTCATGGTGAGGGCTTACAGTCTTCATAGGTCTGACATATTTTTTTGAGATTGTCAGTCATTCCAGGGCATTTTCACTCCTGCAGAGCAACCTCTTCCTTGACTGGCTCTATTCTCGTCTGAGTCTGTCAGAATTGGTCACGTTCAAATATAATTACCAGTAAAATCATATCATTTTAACAGTTCAACATGCCAGCATGGTGCAGGTTAGATGCAGTTAAATGTAAGAAAAACCTACACAGCTCTGAATTTTACCTGCACTAACCTGCATATGCAGGTGGTATTTCCATCCCTGCATAAATTAGTATTTTGCTGTAATTGATTACGTGTTTAAATGTCCTTTAACTTAAGTTTCTGTGTTCCTGTGTAGGTTCATCGCCGGATGTTCTACGACGATAACTTTGGTGTTGGGGAAGCCTTGAATGAAACAGGTAACCAATCCTGACACAAACATTTTGGAAACTTCATCTGTCATATTTTCAACAGTTTCAACAGTTCATTCATAAATAGCCAAATGCAGACCTAGTGTTTCATGTCCCACTTTTATATGTAATTGCCTTGTGCGTCTTTTGTACTTATGTAAAGTCCACACAATTCAGGAGTACTATGTACCCCTGCTATGTTGACTGTTTTTAATAAAATTGAAATTGAAAATTGAAATATCAGTCTCGCAGCCTGTACAAAAACATGCTGAATAACACTGATTTTTTTATAGTTGATTGTCTGGAAAATACAAATTAACATTACAATACATATACAACCACACAAACACAAACATTACTAAAAGCCTCACATGGGCACTAAAGTAAAGACTAGACCGTCCTAAGAGTCTTACTGCAAAGACTTGTTGTACAGGCTAGTGGTGCATACCGGTTCACTGGACTTGGATCCGGACTTGTAAAAATGTTTAGGTTCAAGTCCAAAAAAACCTAAAAGTCAAGAACCGAGTCCGGACTTATTACCATAAAAGACCATTTCACATACCCCTTTTCTTTTTAAACCACCTAAAACCTTCCGTAGATTCCAAAATCTTTGCTGCAAAATGAAGAAAACATTGCCATCGGGCATCGTCAAGTACCAGCCTCCATGTTATGTGGCCAAAGTTTCACCCAGACAACATTGCAAGGTTGCCAACAAGCAATTTTGTATATGCCATGGGTTTAGGTCCGGACTTAAGTCCGGACCTGAACCTAAACCTCTGGACTTGAATCCGGACCTGAACCTGAAATTGGGTTTAGGTATGCATCACTAGTACAGGCATATCTCTCCTTACTTCATCAATAGCAGCAATGACCCAACTGGCTCTGACAAAGTCCATGTTTTTTCACCCATATGAACAGGAGTATTTGGAGATGGCCTGGTGGCACGTGGCAAACACTACCTGATGTTGGAATCACCTGCGGACTCTGGCCAGCTGCACCGCACCCTGGGGGAACAGCTGTACATGGCACCTGCCGTCAGCTTCACACCCAACACGCTCTCCACTCAGGACTGGAGCAACAACTTCAACATGGATGTAAGAAATCTACACGGCTTTTCTCTGGTTCTCATTAAAAATACTTACTGTGTAGCAGCTTCTGGAGTGCTGTAAATTTTTACATATCTTCTCATTTTTTTTGCCTTCCTAAAGATGGAGGTTCTGTTTTGGGTTGGGTTTATGAGTTCAAACGTATAACTCATGATACTTTGAAAAGATTTGTTTGAATTTTGGCACATGGTTAAATATTGAAGTCTCAAGGAAACATGGTGATTTTGGGCATTTTAGTACTGTAACAGTATTTTCATAAACTTTTCAGAGATTTGGAATGTCAGATTTCTCGTTTAATTTTGTGCTTTTCAAGGGAGCAAACTCACCACTCGCCAGCATTTTGACCGTGTTGATACTGTTGTTTTCAACTGTGAACTCAAATACGCTGGAATCAGCAGTTGTTTGTTATTTGTTGTGTTGTTAGTACACAGCTCTGAAGCGTGAACTGCCACCCAGTGTCCACCTGCTGACCCTGGAGCTGTCTGATGGAGACACAGCCCTCCTCAGGCTGGAGCATCAGTACCAGGCTGCCGACCGGGGGACGCCACAGACTGTCTCTCTACAGGTACCTAAAACAACACATTAACCTTATTCACAGACAATTCAAATTCTATGCCAAAAAGCAGTTACTCAAGCAACTGGATATGATTTTGGAAACGGTCAGACTTTTCAGCTAGTATCCACTACTAGCTTTCGTCAGTGACTGAGAGACCAGAGGAGAAATGCAGGTTTATGAGCACAAACAATTGATTGATATGCAAACCTGCTTATAAACCTTCATTTGTCTTCTGGTCTCTCAGTCACTGACGAAAGCTAGTGGATACTAGCTGAAACATCTGACCATTTTCAAAATCATATCCAGTTGCTTAAGTAACTGCTTTTTGGCGTATTGTATCCAGTTGCTTGAATAACTGCTTTTTGGCATATCATATTACCTGGATGTCTAACCTTCATCGACGTAATTCAAATTCTACTCCTGGAAAAATTACAGAGATTATTTCCCGACGTTTCAAGTGACACCTGACACTCTTCTTCTCTATCACTAATAAATTGGGTAACCTTTGTCAATGCCCCTTCAGTCTAAATAATGTGGATTTTCCTCGCTGCCTTTTTTTCAGGGGCTGTTTGAACCATTTGAGGTTGTGACCTCTAGTGTGGAAGAGCTGACTCTTGGAGGAAACATTCATACAGAGAAACTACATCGTCTGTCATGGAACACTGGTGAGTCTTATGGGTAGCAAGTAGGTAGGAAAGTGAGTTGAGGCATAGGTGTTGGGAAGATGTGCGTGTGTGCTAAAAATCTGTTAGAATTAATTATCTTTAAAGCTATAATACAGCACTTTGGTACAAATAACTGCTATAAAAGTATGATTTTCATGTGCATAATGTCAAAGCTACAAACATACATTTGCACATATTGATATCTACTAATTACCTGTAGTTATTAGAGAATAACCTAATAGCCTAATTAAAATCTAGTTATTCTCTAATAACTACAGGTAATCAGTAGATATCAATTTGTGCAAACGTATGTTTATAGCTTTGACCATTATGCACTTGAATTACTTTTATTGCAGTTATTTGTACCAAATTGCTGTATTATAACTTTAAAAATAATTACATTTGAGGCAATAAAATATGATGACGTCATCCATATGGTCCATAAAATCATATTCATAACCCTTTTGTACCCAGGTATCAATATTCAGTACAACTACAGTTCTTTCTGAATTTCTTTGTGACAAAACGATGGAAAGTTTGAAATGCCAAATTAGCCAGTGAGGACACCTAAACAGTGTTGCTCAATGCACCTGACAAATGACCACTACTATGCATAGGTAACACTACAGGCATAGATTGGTTACGCCAATAGATGTCAGTGGATGTGTATTTAGTTAGTGGCTTAAAAAACTCTAAATGCTTTCCTGGGGGTTTAAAATCTATGATTTCTTGTTTTCACAGAGGAAGGCACCACAGGAAATGTATCCCAACAATGCTGGGACCCCAGCTCTGCCACTGTCAGTCTCAAACCCATGCAAATCTGCACCCTTCGCTTCCACGTAAAACGCAGGTGGTAACAACTCACAACCTTTAACTTCACTATTAGGCCACACCAATTTAATTTCTTGGTTAATGGATTTTTGTAGAAAAATAATGGAGCGGGCGGACGAAAAAAATAAATGATTAAAAACAGGTCTAGGCATCCTATTATGGCCCAAATTGGTACGATAGGAGCCATGAAGTCAACACACCAGGCTGGTTCAAAATTTAAATAATGAATTTTGAACTTTTAATGATACCACTGCATTGAAAGATGGAATAACTGTAACAACTAGGATGAAAAGGACTGTTTTCAACTGTTCAGGGCAAAATATGAGCATTTTGCAGTTGATTCTGAATTTTTACTTTTATTTGCAAATCAGAAAAAAAATGAAGCGGGCGAATCCAAGAAATTAAATTGGTGTGGCCTTATATAGTTTTCAGGACACGTAAAAAAGATAAAATGTGTGAGTCTACTCTGGTGGTGATGGAATTATTTGTAATGACAACTGAGGTGTGTGTATAGTGTATGGTGTTACAGAACTGAGGTGCATAGCAGTTTTATGTTACTGAAAAAGAAAGCTTTCAAAGAGTGTCTGCTTCAAATCATGGTCAGGATTTCAGGGCACATTTCGTTACAAAATGTGAACCAAGGACGTGTTTTTGTAGTGCAATCATCAGTTTAGTACAATCACTGAACATGTACGTATCTTCGTACTTTGGTGAGATACCAGTATACTGGTATGTAGCAACAAATATGTGAATACTAAAGTATCAAGCATATCTTTCCAGTACACACTAGGATAAAGGACACAGTGAAGTCTGTACTCCAGAAACTACAAGGATACACGTTGTACAAATTCTTTTTGTTTTGGAAATTATAAATGTCTACAAATGTCAAATAGAATGTGGGAAGTCAACACATGGGAAGGAGTAGCAAAAAAGTACTTTTTTTCAGCATCATAAAAGATCATTCATTTGAAACCAACTGAGTTTCAGTGGCACATACATATAGAATGTATGGCCACATGTAGGACAATTTGACTCCCTTCGCTGCATGGACATATAGAGAAAATTCTGCACAGGTTTCACTTGTTTTATTACTTATCATTGCACCAGAGATACAAGGTATTGAAGTCTACAGTCATACACTTCAGAAAACCTTTACTTGTTTATGACGTAATATGTAAGGCTTATGATTTTGAGGTGTTAAATATAAAATCAGTAGTTACCGGTAGTAGTGATGCATACTGGTTCACTGGACTTGGATCCGGACTTGTAAGAATGTTTAGGTCAAGTAAGAACCGAGTCCGGACTTATTACCATAAAAGACCATTTCACATACCCCTTTTCTTTCCAAACCACCTAAAACCTACCGTAGATTGCAAAATCTTTGCTGCAAAATGAAGAAAACATTGCCATCGGGCATCGTCAAGTATCCGCCTCCATGTTATGTGGCCAAAGTTTCACCCAGACAACATTGCAAGGTTGCCAACATGCAATTTTGTATATGCCATGGGTTTAGGTCCGGACTTACAAGTCCGGAACTGAACCTAAACCTCTGGACTTGAATCCGGACCTGAACCTAAAATTGGGTTTAGGTATGCATTATTAACCGGTAGATTGCTCTACTGTAGTCTCCAAACATGACATTCAATAGCTTGTTTTAGATTATTATATGAGCTTTATGGTGTGATTCATCATACAAAATTACTGCCACAAACTGAATGCAATGCTGCTAGAAGTTTGAGAAAGTGGATGATAAAAGAAAGGAGACCAAATCTGTGGTGTGGTGTGTCTCATTCTAGTTTCTTTCATTACAGATTCTCAGACATTTTTTTTCCTGAAAGACCAGCAAGTAGAAAATTAGCCTCCTTCACAGTCTTGTTGGGCGTTTTGCCATGGAGAGAAGGTTTCGCGCGAAACCTTCTCTCCGTGGCAAAAACTCCCTCGGCAGCAAATCGTCCCTCGCGGCCGCATATTACTCGCGTCGCTCAGAGAAAAAATAACGCCGACGCCCAACAAGACTGCGAAGGAGGCTAAAAATGGGCTATCAGTAAAACTTTCATCTGATCATAACTTTAGCCTGTGTTATGCAATCTCTCGATGATTGGGCCTCCACCAAGAGCATGTAGATATTAAACAGTTACTAGTACTCTAACTTGAAAGAACTAATCCCATTCCCAGAACTACCAATAGGAGCTCAGGATTCTTTATCTGTGAAAATCAGTCCAATAGGAGCGCAGGATTCTTTATCTGTGAAAATCAGTCCAATAGGAGCGCAGGATTCTTTATCTGTGAAAATCAGTCCAATAGGAGCGCAGGATTCTTTATCTGTGAAAATCAGTCCAATAGGAGCTCAGGATTCTCTTGTCACTATGGAAACCAGTCATCACATCCCCCAACACTATGGTAACAGACAGATGTCAATCTGACAATAATTTGTCCATTTGCACATTTTGCATGAATAAGATGTAGCCAATCCGTCCGACTTATAAGTGTTGGTCATCTGAATCTTTAAGGGGCCTGACTAGTGAAAGAATCTTCCTTCCACTCTGTTTTCATAAAATATCATCATGTTGATTTCTAGTTCAACATCCAAGAAACAACAAATAGACCTGGTGTAGCCTATTCTATCCTGTTAATGATAAAGCCTGAATCAATACATTATGTGGTGTGTAAACAAAACTTTCAAATTAAAACCCTGGAGCAGACTAACAATGGATTTAGGTTTGGAATTGGTGCATTCAATTTTCTCATTGTTGAATCTTGGGGTTTGTGACCATATTTAGGACCATAGCTTGTTCTTTACAGTACAGGTAACTATGTGTGATAGCTTAGTGTGGATTAACATTCCTTTGAAAGGAATTTGGGCTTTCAGTCACTATGGTATCAACTGGGATAAGGACAGCCTTGTTGACCCTGTTAAAGGCCATTGAAAACTTTGACTTTTAGTCAACATAACTGAAAAACAAGTTTGTAGTACCACATTACAGAATAAGAATGTTGGAGCAGTAAAAAAGTACTCAGTCTGTAAAATATTTGCAACATCAGGAAAACTACTATAAAACGAAGTACTTTATTACTGTACAAAAGAAAGTACAATGTACTTTGACTTAAAACAATATATAGCCAGTCTGACTAATAATAGTATACTATGTCATGATACCGCATAGTAGAAATACACAAATGACAATTGCCTAGGCTTTTGTTTGCAGTATACTTAGTGATAACATACATTCTAAATGATATCAAACTAGAAAATCTTTTGCAAACAAAAGCCATAAAAAGTTGACAGACATACATGAAGGAATGAGTAATATTATGGCAAACATGTACCAAAACTGTGCTTCTAATTGGGCAGTGTTATGTAAAAGTCACAGCTTTGTACGCCACCAAAATCAAGATTTTGGAATAACATATATGATACATGTATAGTTATATTGGAAACATTTTTTACTGGCAATATGTTTCTGATAACCTACTAAAATTTGCAACAGCAATGTTCATGTCAAAAGTATAACTTTGAACCAAATGATGAAGAAAAAGTGGTTGACTTGCTAGAAACATTTTGATGATTTCAGCAAAGTCCTGTCTTAATGATACAGTATTCTAACAGAAATGGAATTAACCAAATAAATAATAGTAATAAATAGTACAAGACTTACATCACACAGAAGCAACCTTACAGTGGGACTGTATGAACCCACCACACAGAATACATTCAAGTACATATAGAGCACCAGGCTCCTCCGTAGAAAAATATAGTACTGCTAAAATTACTGCACATCGACAGAACGTACTGTACCTGCATAAAACCTGAATTTCTCAACATTTTCGTTGGATGTTTGGTCCACATTTTATAAGAATTTTGCCTGTTGCAGACATTATCTTTTCTGACACAAGATTTGAAAACTATAGACGGAATGTCATCCTAAAACGTGAGAATACGCGACTATAAAAGAGACGTTCTGCTAAAGTGCTATACACAATGCATTACAGGTTTCGTGCAGGTGTAATATACCATCTATCAATGTGCTTAACATTACTACCCTGATGCTATTGGGATATGGTGACTGTCACAAGCGGCTGGCCCCCTTCCTAAGTGGTCAAGAGTTTTTGTTATGATGTTCAACACCATGGGTTGTATGGCTATACAGTCGTCGTGTATTCTATCAGCAATGGTGGGCTCATTTTTACAGATAACTGCCGCTGAAGCCCGACTGAATGTGCTCCGTTTAACTGTACATGTTGTCTCTGCCGCTGTTGTCTTTGTCTTCTGTACCTATTAGAACAAGAGAGGGGGGTCACAGGGTAACGTCAATCTATGTACAATTTGTATGTGAGATACGAATGTTTGTAAATTAAAGTATAAGAGGGTTCTTTAAGAATGGAATTAGAAAGATGGATAGGCAATGGAAAAGATGGTAAGGTGATATCAGAGAATGGATAGGCAAGACACTAGGGAAAACCAAAAAGAGTGGAAAAACTGGTTGTCAGATAGCCTGTGGACCCAACAGTTGAATAATAGATGTGATGAGAGTATCTACAAAGTAGTGTGCATCTTTGAGCTTAGATATTCAAATTATATTATACAGCAGAATATGAGTGATTGCAGCTGGTGATGTGAATACGTACCTCCGTAGACAGATGATAAGTAAGATGATGAGCATTATGATCAACAGTGATACGAAGATGGCACCGACGATGACAGCGACTGGTACTGTGGCCAGGTCATCACCAGTACTCTCCAGCTCTACCAGCGCATGGTTACACCGCGGACCCCAGTAGCGTTTTGGACATCTATAAAGGCGAAAATAATCTGGAGTGAATTCATTTGGTGTCAATTGGCCGAGAGGCATTTAGAAGCCACAGGTTTGATTCCTGGATGTTGTGTCCTTGGGAAAGGTGCTGTAAAATGGATACCTGACTTTGGTTGGGTTGGTAAAAGGTGGTGGAAGGGGAGGGATGGGCTCTGCCTTCTAATATCGTGTGCCCTTGACAATTTATTGCACAGTGGATTAACAACCCACTGCCTCTATAGCCTGAAAAAGGCTATGCGACTACCTTTGAAATTACACTTCTAAATTCATTTGGTTGGAAATTACACAACTACAAGTGTGAATCTGTCCGTTTTGTAGTCTATTAAGTACTCAGTTGTCCATAATTTCACATCCAAATTGCCTATTTTTCCCTACACAACATTGCATGTTACCCGGTATGGTCAAGAAGTTAGCTACCAAAGTTGGCATCCTGACATATAATTTTCCTTACCGAAAAATATACCAGGGTGTATTCTAGTCAGTGGTGTATTCTGGTCCGTTTAGTCTTAGTTATTGGTGTTCTGAAACCTAATTAGCACATTGTTGATAGGGATTACAGTCCTTTTCAGTTGGCCCATTATCTGACAGGAGCCACACCTTGAGCACATTAATTAAAAGACCCGTCACACCTATCAACAACAGTAGGGGGACCCCCCGGTGTGAAAATGGGCTGGGTCATAACAACGAGAAGAAACACAACATAATAGCTGTACAGCAAAAATATGCTTTAGAAATTATCATTTAGCACTGCAACTTATGTCATTGGAAGCCTGTTGATTATTCTATACTCTCCAATCAGAGGTCTAGGAATCAGCTTATTTCTGATGTCTTTTTGGCCATTTTTATCAGGCTTTCTTTTTGTCTGGTACTATCTCAATTTTTTTGCCATCCAAACTACAATCATATGGCATATCGGATACTGCCATACCAATCTGATACAGAAACTCACTATGCCCTGCCATTTTGGAGGGCCTGCAAGGGGGGTCCCGACAACGCTCTACGCTGAATTCGGAAACCTCTCGATTATGCTTTACAATAAATTCCAAGTGGCTACAATGCATTACGTAGAATTAAAACGCTGAATACGCTCTACGCAAAAATATTAGAGCGGTCCGTCTACGCTCAACGTAGAATTAAAACAGCTGATTACGCTCTACATATAGCCACCAAAAGATCAGATCCAGTGGATTGGAGACAGAATTCACCATACAGCTATGCCCTATTTGTAACAATCATTTATGGGATGACGAGCACTAAGGCTGTGCCAAATGTCCCTGTCAGTGCTTAACAATGCATTCATGATTTATTGTCAAGATTACATTGTTATTGACTCAGGTGCAAATTAGCCTAATAGATCAGACATATCGGTGCATGTCGACCTATGATAACAATGTTACAAAGGGAGCATTCTGGCAATGTGTATCATAACTGATCTCAAACTTTTTTTAACAGATTGATGAGTTTGCAAAGTTTTGCTTTATTGCAATAACTTTATAGACAACAAATGCATATTATAATTTTTTACGTTTTTGAAATTTTCTGATCACCAAATTTGGATCAAAATTACGGTATTCTCTAAGCGAGGTGTAAGCTTTGGGTCATTTATTACAATTTTTTAGGCATTTTATCAGGCTTTCTTTCTTGTACATGTATCTTTTTGCCAGCCAAACGGTGGTATATTTGATACTGTAAGCCACCAAAAGATCTGCTTGGAGATTAGCTGAAAAATCAGAAGGTGAGTTGTCAATGACTAGCCTGGTTACCAAACCTGGATAAATTGCGGAGAGGATGTAGGACTTGGGAGCTAGGATAGGTTTGGTAACCAGGCTAGTCAATGACAGAAAGAAACCATTTCCACGCATAGCGTTCAGTTAATCTCCAAGCAGATCTTTTGGTGGCTAAAAAGATAGTATCCAACACGCGGACAGTATCCAGTTGGCCGACAGTATCAAACTCTCCACCGTTGGTGGGGATCAGGACCAAAAAAAAACGGCCATATATAAAAAGGTAACGATCATTCCCCCACAACCTCTCCTTGGAGAGTAGCGTTCAGTCACAGTGGCAGGTGTGATACTTACAAACACATAGCATTAGCTGACTCCTGTAAGTATTCACAAATCCCGCCGTTCAAACAGAAGCCGTTGTACTCGGACGGGCACTCATCCCCCCGTTCTGCCCGCGATGCTGTTCCTGCAACGGAGAAACAAGGCGATCAGAGATGGCAGGCTTCACCCCATTACCCAGAAAATGTTCCCTGTGATTCCCAACTTATACACAATGTCTCAATTCCATTCATCCACACTGCTGCTAATTGTTTTATCTGTGGGACACACACAGGCAATCAGAGATGGCAGACTTCACCCCCTTACCCATACTATTTTGTACCTCAGTTCTGCTAACAAAAATTGCAACACTGAGTATTTACAGTGTATGGTGTGGAAATACACTCACACAGGAAGACAGACAGACAGACATCATCACTCCCTTAAGGCAAAGTATTTGAATCTTTATTCATGAGAAACTCAAATTGGCCACTTTTATTTAGGGCATGAGAGAAATGGTAAGGGGCAGACAAAATATAACAAAGATACAGTTTACATGTGTTAAAGTATCTATACCCATATTTTTACACATAACGTCACATGGTACAAAACACATAGTATAACATAAGAGTTAGTGCTGGTTTATATCCATTTGTTTTGGTCACTTCTGATTTCTGTAACAATTAATACTTAAAGGAAGCCAGAGTTGGGGTCGTGTGTGAATGTCTAGTGGTAGCTGTTCTAGTCAATGGGTCCACAGTAGCCTATAGATCCTCTGAAGCTCTCTCGCTGAGGTTTTTAGACAACTACTAAACAGAGAAGTCACCAAGAAATTGCTCCTACAAATCTTACAGTTACTACCAGAGAGATACTGTACCACCAAGGTCGAATCCTGTTAAGGAGGGGCCCAGAGTTTACCGAAGCACTCAGCTCACTTGATGCGTGACCTTGGGTTAAACAGGTGTCTGACACGCCCTCGCACATTAGTCATCGCCCAATTTAAAGCTTTAAGAACCCAAAACAATGTCTTTTAAAGAACGCTCCAGTCGCCCTGTTGAAAGTCACTCACCTGGATGTGCCATTAACAAGTGAATGTGCATTCCAACATGAAAATCTGGTTTGTGTGGTTTTGTTACAAGTTGCTCCAGACCTGCTTTTATATGTCTTTTGAAGACAACCTTATAACGTGTATCATTCTTTTTGACCTAGAGTCTATCTAACAATTCATTACAAGCTTTTTTTTCATCTTGGACATCCCCACAATACAAAGTTTTTAAAAAATGTTTCAAATCTTTGTCCCTGTTCTTTGTAAAACTGAATGACTGAAGTTATTTCTTTCTTATCTAGCAATTCCTTCTACAGCTTTTTCTTATTTGGGACATTCTTAATGATACAAATTTCCAAGTAAATGTTCCTAAAGGCCTCTTTTCCTTGTTTCCTTTTACTTGTTCTTTCCTTCTTAGTAAGAGTGAATAGTTTCATCTAAAATTTTGCTCTTGTAGCAAATTTCTTACAGCCTTTTTAATTTGGGACATTACCCATTATACAAATTTCCAAAGAAAACATTTCAAATCTTTGTTCCTGTTCTTAGTAAAGCATACAGAGGGTCTTATCTTACCCAAGATGTAGTATCGCACCTTGTTTGTGTTTTACCTTCCTTAGTTTAACAAGACCTGGTCTATACATACATGTGTCAACACCTGACGTCAGAAGCACGTGTGCCTTCAAACCTTTTCTTACCAGGTGTGAAAATACCTGGCGTTTGACGCTTGCCAAGCAAACCCTGTAGTAACAAAGGGCTGTGGAATTCACTAGACAAACATTCCTCTTTTGGTCTCCTCTCTTGAACTTAGCATTGAGTTACTTCAAAAACTAACTCTGGCTGTCCATACCACCTGCTCTAATGTAAACATTTGTCTCCAAACGGTGTACACACTTAAATGATTTTTTATCAATAAACTCTGCTACTAGAAACACGAAATTCTCTGTCTCGTAGCCGAAACGACCGCGTTTTGCGATGTCATGGTTACGTAATGCCGTATTGCAAATCTTTTCGATAAGATAAGGTGTTCATGGCTACAGTACAGATAACGTTAACCCATTGAAGTTACGGACGCCGAAAACAACTACTAGGTTTCCACCAGACGTAGAAATTAGCCACAATTAGCCTGAATGATTTGGCCTAAAGCAAAGAGTAATTTATTTCTAGCGAGCCTCGACTGAAATGTAACTCTTGGCCGGCTTAACAAATCATTCACCGCGTTTGGCCAATCTTCACTATTTTTTCAGCAAACTCAGAAGACTTTTGAACAACGGTATTGAAAAGACGTTGTTCACCTGCACCTTAAAGGCAAACTTGCGCTTGTTTGGCGCTTGCCCCCACGATGTTGGGCTAGTACCAACACCTTGTCCTTGCTTGGCCCCGTGCACCTTGTATATATGCCCGTGCGTACAGTAAACTAGATAGCCATGTCCGCCGCGGTGTGTGGCCTAAATGTGGGCGTTCCCTTGCCCTTGTACACTTTCACACGTGTTGCTTTGTTTTAACGGGCTGTCTAAACTAGTCCAACCACTCTGTCATTTCACCACATTTCGTACCAGTTGCTAGCCACACGCGGATGGTATAAACAGTTACACTCCTTGGTGGTCTACTAGTAGTGGTTGTCGACTGGACGATGTTATGGGAAACACTGAACCAACACACCTGTAGAGCTCTTCTCACCTGTAACACTTACCTGGCATGAGACACAGCGCCAGAAGCAGGATTTGGTCCGATGTGGTCAGCATGGAGAGGAACAACAGCGATCGCGTGTGACTTCTTCAGAACCTCGTGCTACAACTGGTGGGTTGAAGTCTTCACACACACGGTTCCGGAACAGGTGCCATGGAAAGTACACAAAACAACAACAGTTTGTGGCGAAGGGTCACGGAGGAGGGGACAACTCCTATTTCCGGTCGTAAGAGATCACAAGTCCACGCTTGGACACACGGTAAACAATTGGACATGTGTGGACTTTTGCCAAATATGGCGGCATATCAAATGACAAACGATGGGCGTTCCTCGCGAGGAGCTTGTTTTATTCTTATCAATTGACCTGAGACTTATTGTAGCGGTCGGGCGGGTGGGTGGCACGACAAAGGTGGGTCCGGATGCACACGTGTGACCCGTGGTGCCCGTCGGAAGGAATTAAAATTCTCCAGATAGTCTACCGTTTATGACACACGTCGTTACGTGCTGCATAGCACAAAATGGGAGTAACGTTGGGGACAGAAAAAGCACGTAATTTCGACTCAGGTGAAAGTGCATTGAAGACAAGAGTACTAATTTGTAAATGCACGTACTACATGTATACCTCAAACGTTCCCTATACCATTGTATTACCACGACCAACTACTAGTACTTTGCCCACTGTTAAAGTTAAAAGTTAAAATTTTATTAAAATCGACTGGCATATAACAATATATTCCACACGGAAGTACACAAATGTATGTCGAAGTTCACAACTAACATGACACTCACAAGATTACACAACTTATAGATCTATAATCACTTTTTGTTTACTTTTCAGTTGACTCACGTTCGTTAAAATACAGACATGACTCATTAAGTAAAATCAATTTATCCGCTTTCAAATTGGACGTACTTAAGTGTTAACTTAGTAAGAAGATACAATAAAAAGGTTCTTACCCTTGGATATTAGATTTGCCTGCCTTACGGTATCCAGCCCTGTTCTGCTTTGGTGGCCCGTTTGCCAACGTACTTGTAAGCAAGGTTGTAACTCACTACCCCTACCAAGTCATTCAAGTAAACCTGGGCTAAAAAAAAGATACTTAGTAATATGGGGATTGACCGTTGGAGCAACTTTAAAAGGGATGGGCTCTAGGCCAGGGGCAATGTTATTATCATCATTGGATTGAAGTTCATTGATACGAACTGATCATGATATTGAATGCGAATGAAGTAGTCTACGCAATCTGCCTTGTTAAATTATTTTGGGACATAGAAAATGTGTCATCACTGACTGACACATTTGATATCTAATATTAGAATAACTAAGGAGGTTATAGGCGGAATAACACATGAAAAGGGTCGCCTCACTACTCAAAAGCCGCTTTTGACTCCTGTGCTAGTCGCCGACCTGCCACGTTGTTGCCATACATAATCTGAGAAAACCCGCTCTATGGACTTATACAAAGCCATATCTAGGACGGCAAATCTCTCTTGTCATACCCTCCGGCGTACTGTTCACATCTTTAGCAACTCTGGGCTTATAAATAGAACAACAGTTACCTTTTATAAAAGCAGGTTTATTGTCAACAGTCTAGGGCTTCGTGACTTCCTCAAATCTTCTCGCGACTGTTCCGTGTAAATCATTTTGTGTACACTTCTGCTGTGTAAGTGTAAGGAATGCAAAACACAAACTGTGACAAAAACTGTGAGATAGTTAGCTGGGATGGGTGCCTAGAGGGGGAAGGCTCATCTGAAAAGAATTTGATCCTGGCGAGGGATAGGGTAAGAGTTATGTCATTTTCGCAGGCGCCCAAATCCTTTAACTATACCGTATCCGAATGCGTAAAATCCCCCACTCGGAAGTCCCTAGTCTTTTACAATGGCGGGAACATTTCAACACGTACGAACACATTCAGAAGTCGCTGCATTTCGCACATTCCTCGGAGAAATTATTTCTACCTTTGGGTGGCCCGACGTGTCCGCATATTACTGCATTGACGTAATGCTACTCACCTTTATAAAACGGTGATGACAAAGATATGGTTCGAGTCGCAATCCGCACTTTTGTTGCTAACAGTTGACCGAGGAAGAAATGAGTTCACGTAAAAGTTTGTGACCTTGCTAATTGCAGAAGGGGTCACGTAAAGACTGTGACAATAGTGGGAAGGTCATGTACAAATGTACTTAAGAGACAGGAAGCTTGCCGCACCTTCTCTGGTAGCCAACCCATTGTAATTGCAGAGTTCCTTTCGTCCTCTCCGAAAAAAGGACGTAACAGACTTTGCATGTATTATAATAGTTTTGGATTAATCTCCAAGCAGATCCTAGAGTGGCCAAACACACAAAGTATCAAATTGGCCAGGCAGTATCCATTAGCTAGTGGCTAATGGACACTCCTCTGGCCAATGGATACTGCCTTGCCACCGTATGATCTGATTGGAGATATATAAGTTTTGGATACTAGTACCTGGCTGTACCCACTGCACAAAATCCACTCTTTCCGCACAACTTAAAGCATGCGTAAAGACATCGTTTCTTCACTTGCTTATACGGTCTGTACCTTTACGCCTGCTTTAAGGTATGCTTGAAGATTTCCTACAGTGACCTCACCTTTTCTTATCACACCTTCTCTTACCACACTAGCCCAACCCCTTATTGTATAGTCCTCAACATCAGGAACGTCATGATTCCTAATCTAAAAGCAAATACAGAGTCCGGCTGCTTTAATTGCACGTGTTTTTTCAGCATTGAGTGCGCCTTGCTAGAAATGGTTCGCTCTGGTAATTTTTCGGAGAAGGCGAAGAAAGAAAAGTGCTGACCACTAAAAATGCACGTTCAAAATGCCTCGGGACGTCATTATTACATTATAAACTTTTTAGTTTCTCCAAGCAGATCCAAGTAGGTCCAAGTGTCATTAACCTCTAGGTACTGGTGAAACATTAACAAGTCAAGAGAGTCAATCAACAACCCAAAGCCTTTCACCACAACTCGCAACATTTATAAAAAATACAGACTGTACAAGTTTCTCACATTGTAACTTCAATTATACAAATAAATTAGGAATACTTTTGTAAGTAACCGTATGTTAAAAGTTTACAATAAATCGTTTTGTATTTAGCTGATCTACACAGTTTCTGGAACGTTATTAGCGTTTTCACTCAAATATTCATTAATTTCTTCAAAACATATTTACATAGCGTACACACGTCTAGACAACTGTTTCCTCTATAGATGGAGTATAGAATTCTGCAGGCCAGGTTTTCTTCAAGTTTATTCCGATGATTTTCGGTCGTCAACTGGCAGAACTTGCCCGCAAGGAATCTGCTAGTTACAGTCTTGAGGATAGTGGCTAGTGACCGCCTTCTTTTGAAGTTCTGAGGAAAAGGACAAAACGACAATGAGTCAAACCAGTCCATATGGGGAACAGTCAAATGACATATACTAGTAAAATAGAAAGAGGATTCCAGTAACATGTGTATGTATAAGACATTTTATGAAACAAGTTTGAACTGTGATTTCCAACACAAAAAATTGGCATTTTCGACTTTGCAATTATTGTTTGTTAATACTGGGTATTTGGGTAAATTTGGTCAATTTCTTTTGTTGGAAATTGCATTTCAAATTTACTTCTTAATGGCTTTCCATCAATTACAACAAAGGTGTACTTTCAAGCTGATATATCCTCTCCAGTTGACAAAATTAAAAAAATACCCAATCTACTAGCTATAGAACCTTACCTGCTGTTATATCATCCGCTATACGTCTTGTGTGAGTCTGTCTGTAGACTGTCCTTTCTCCAAGTGCGTGTGTCTTGGCCCCTCACTGTCAGATTCTCTTCGACATCTCCTGTTCAGAAGAAAACACAAACTGTTAAGAAATGAGAAGATTTTCTTCAGTTCGCTCGCTTGGAGATGAAAATGTGATATGCATATTTTAGTCAAAGATGTTCAACAAAAGATTCGATGTGTGTTAGGGAACATTTTACTCCCACCTCACCCCAAATTTCACCTGAATTTCAAGACACTAAATTCGCGTGACCTGACAAAAATGTGGCATCCAATGGCCAAGCGCGCGGATACGAGATCAACAAGTCTCGGGTTCGATCCCTGATACAGTATTCTTGGCCAGACGCTGTGTCCTTGGAAAAGGCACTTTACACAATTTTTCCTTCCTCCACCCAGATGTACATGTAAAAGGGGTACTTCGGTTTGGTTCGGTTGGGGAGGTAAAAGGCGGTGTAAGGCGAGGGATGGGCTCCACCTTCCAGTACTGTGGACATACCCTACAGACTGAAATATGCTTTCTAAGACTACCTTTATCTTTAAGACATTGCAAAGGGAGGCCATTCAGAAGTTTGGCCCGCACACAGCAAATTACCTTTACCTCTCGTATACGGACTGCACATGTCCTGAAAAAAGGACTGTGCATGTCCCGAAAGAGGGGGTTTCCCTTTAGGGACCGAATAGAGGGGGTTCCCTTTAGGGTGTGTGTGGCTCCACTCACTCCACCAAGACAAAAGTCTAAAACTTTAAGCTAGCCTCACCTGACTAGTAGAACGATCCCTCCCACTATTACAAGTGTGAGTACAGCAGACAGCACGCCGATGACGATGTACGTGTCCGGGAGTTCCGACTTCTGTCCCGCCTGGGAGAACGGGATGTGGTACTGACACCGCCGGCCCCAGTACATCTCCAAACACCTGCAACAGCATGGGATTCGTTTGTTTGTTTGTTTGTTTGTTTGTTTGTTTGTTTATTCAGGAAATACATATCGCCTGATGGCGTTTTTCAATGGTTCCGTGGGGGGGGGGACCCCAAACAAAATCTATTAACAAAGGTATCAGATACCAAAATCTATTAACAAAGGTATCAGATAAAGTTACGCACATTACAAATTGATACAAAATCTCTATGGGATGGTGAGGATCGGGAGAAAGTGGTAATGTATGCTAATCACATGCTAATGTTATGAAAACAACGGACGGAGAGAAGATAGGAAAGGTAAGGATCTACAATGACATGCACCAGTGCACTCATATTAAGTCTCTATCTATTACGTAAATAGCGAAAATAAGTACGACATGACGTAATCACCATACTAGCAGACGTTACTGGCAGTATCGTTGAAAACCGAGACTTCTAGTGACTGTATATTTATGAAAGACTGGATAAACTGTACGCATTTTCCTTAGAAGAAAATGAGTACAGTCAAACTCAAACCAAAGTCATATATTCCTTTCAAGAAATTAAGTTGTTATGTAGGCAAAATTGTCGCGATACAGTAGATACTTGAAACAGGGTAGCACAAATGCATTGAAATCTCGAGCCATGAAGTTTAACTGAAAGCATTCTTTAGAAACTTTTTACATTTTTAAAGCAATGTCAGATCCATGTAGTTCCTCTGGGGCTTCAGGAAAGTGCTGAGGATCACGATGTACGTAAGACAATTGAAATAGGGTAGCAAAATGAAATTTGGAGCCCTCTGATAGACAAGTCAACTTGTTCTGTATAACCGTTCTCACGTACCGGCATGAGGCCTCCTGTAACTCGGCCAGGTACAGACACTCTCCCCCGTGCAGACAGAAGCCGTCGTACCCCAGGGGAGGGTCGCCCGTGGGGCAGGGGCTCCTGTGGGTGGTGTGCGCCTCTGTTGTAGACGCGTTGTTCATCAGGCGCTCTGCGACTGCCGTGGGCACGGTGGTGGACGTCACATCTGAGGAGATACCACCGGGCATGACTACAAGACATGCTTGTGACCAAAATTCCAGAAACAAATTATTAACTGTACAGCTATTTCAGTATTGAAATGTTGAAGTTAGCCTCTATGTGGCTTAGGAAGCGGCTAGAAAGAGTCGAAGTTGGCCAAATATATAATAGACAGATGAAATAACTGGGGAGTTGGTCCCTAAAATACTAGAGTCGTATTTTTGGGGCAAACTATTCTCCTTTAGCGGACCAACTCCCCTGGCATGTTGTCGGTCTATTTGACCAATTTCGACTCTTGTTCGCCGCTTCCAAAGCCTGTTGGAGGCTAACTTCAACATTTCAATAAAGATTAACAGCTTAATTTCTTAAATATTGTATACAAGACACAACTTGTGTATATGGCAACCAAAGAACAACATTAGGAAACTAAACAATCATAAAAAAAACTAGATTTGTAACTTTGACAATACCAAGCAAATCATGGACTTCTCCAAGCAGAACTCCAGAGATTTTACTACTACTTACTATAGGCTTAGGCTTATTCTGACGTAGTTTGAGGCGTTTCTATTGGGCTTTCCTTTGTTTATCTTTTTTATCGCCAGCCAAAAACGCACTTTGGGTAATCTGCTGACAATTTGATACTGTCTTGATACAATTTGATACTGCCCGTTGTAGCCACCAAAAGATCAGCTTGGAGATTTTGAGAAATGCTAAAAGCTATCCAAAAAAGGGAATGTCATTCCATCCAGCCGAACCAAAGGAAGAAGGATATCCTTTGTTTTGTACTTTGATGTCACAGATGGAATGTACGCAGATCACACCTATGTCTGACTCGCACTGGAAAAATCTGGAAAATTCCGTCGTTTGTGTTACCAGATTCTGTAATTTGTCAGTGATGCAGAATTGGCTTTTTTTGCTAGAAAATTGTTAAGAATTATCAACTGATTTAAAAAATGGTTCCAAAGAGTTTTGTTTCTGAAGTATACAATGTATTTTACTATCTAAAGTACTATTATTTAAAGTTTACTATGAAAGCTG